GTGTTACTGCTAAAAGCATGGCGGGAGGATGTCGATATCCTTGAAAATTCCAATTTATTTTTCGTCTTTATCTGGCAGTGTTTAGACTCCTGGAAATACCAGCTTGAAAAATTAAATCAAACCACTCAGCTAATTAGAGTTTCCGTGTAACATTATACAACACATAACATATTCTATCGTAAATAAACTGGACAGCGTTTTGAGACATTGTACTAGACTTTCGACCATGAAAGTGTCTAAATCTTCACACGCACTTGTTGATGGACTATGATTTTTTTTAATTTCCCGTTCTTCGCGTTTTCATTCTTCTGAAGATAAAAACGAAAGTGAATATATGAGAAGTGTCTGGAAAATGAAAGAAGACCATTTGGAAGAACTAGGTTAGATGGAAGCATGATATTAGAGTTGATCTTAAAGAAATATAATTTAAAAATTGCGGACTGAGTTCACGAGCCTCGAGATAGGGTTCTTTTGAACACGGTAATGAACCTTTGAGTCTCGTAAAAGGCGGGGAATTTGTTAACCGGTTGCGGAACTATTAGCTTCTCAAGAAATACTCAATAAGAGTGCCAAATGTCCTTCTTATCACCTTTTAAGGTGAGGAAAACTAAATGTCATGCAAGTATTTTGAGATACCTGCCGGGAACGTCATTTTGCCGTAGTTTATAATTTTCAGAAACAATATTTCCGTATGTGAATAGAATGCTTTAGTTCTGTCCTTCTGAATCTTGAGATGTCTTAGTCTTGACAAATGTACGTACCAGAATAAATATCTGCGGGAGAGGGGTGTACGCCTGTTACTTTAACGGTACAGACAAAAGATGTAACATCGTCAGAATATATAAGCTGTCTACAAAAAAACAGAAGTGATTCAAATTCCGAATCACAAACAAAGGAGTAACTGCTTAAATTCAAGACCAACAAACAAAAGAGTCTGAGAAGTTTAAGTCGATGTAACTCGATAATAAACTTTTAAACGGACCAAATAGAAACAAGTAGTTCCATGACAGTTATTTGTTATTTGGGCAGAAATAATTCCACGTTGTTTTGAAGAAAAAAAAGGAAAAAAAAGAAAGTGAAATCACGAAACGCTGTTCAAGGTCTGGAGGCCAGTTGCTGAATTTTTTATGGTCTGATTTTTTTAAACTGGATCGTAAGCAGCACCTAGCATTTCAAGGTCACTGCCAGGGCCGAGAGAGTCTCAGTGCTGAAGTGTTCTATATCCCACGAGCTATTATGCAACCTATGAACAACTTGTTACCAGAAAGCAAGTTTGCGAGATCCTGTATCTCGGAGTGACTTACTCAGTCTTCGATATGGGTAGTTCAACTTCATTACAGAACTTGTAAATCATTTCTCTACATATTTCCTGTAGATACAGAAATTTTTCTCTCCTCTGTCCGTAGAATTAAATGTGAGACGTTACAGACTTAAAGTTTATAACCGAAGAAATTTACTAAAAACCTCAGTCAGGAGATCTGGCCTCTGAACCTCCCGAATATAAAGTAGAAAATCATATATCTGCGCCGTTGGTATATGTGATGAAGACATAACAGATTAACCCCATGGAGCAGGGTCCTTCTTGAGAGGCTAACAGTATTTGAATTGTGGTCTCTGTTACGATGCCATGTGGCCTTGTAAACAACCACATACCAACCCAGGAGACCGTAATTCAAACATTTACCTCCGTGAAAACCTCAGATCTCACAAAGCTGGTAGCAATTCAACCCGAAAGGGCAATACGTGTTCAAAAGAGCCTGTCTTGAGTCCCATGAATATAATCCCTTCTAATATTATCCTCCATTTACCCGAGTGGTCTCTGTCCTTCAGGTCCTCCAACCACAAGTTTTAATCCGTTGTTTTATATCCTCCACGAATGCTACTCCCCGCACAAATCTCATCCTCCTTTCCTTGATCACTTACGTAATAATATTAAAAAGTGTACTCTGACATCCCAAAGGCGTTCTTCATGCCAGATCAAGGGAGTTTACGTCAGAAGGGCAAAATGAAGGCCAGGGTCATTGTAGCAATAACAAGACAGACATACGCTGACGGGTCCATAAGGTGTTTTTTTGCCAGAGCGTGAAGAATATATAATAATTTTTTATAGGGACATAACTGCGTGAATCAGCATCTTTCGTGGTAACTTCATATTCGCTCAGATTGCCAAGACATTTCTGCCGATTGTAGTTATTTAGTCAGTAAGTTTGGTCAAAATCCGTTCAGATATGAACCACGCGGACAGGCACCTCCACGTTTTTCACTTACAGTAAAGTGGCCATAATATTAAAGTAAACTAGTCTTATTTTGCGACTTCCTGGCGAGATATTTTCTCACCCACGAAAGTGCAAGTAACTTTCAACCGCCTGGGAACTTCTCAGTGGGGCCAGACTAGCTTCGTACAGGCAGCGACGTACGTGGAAATTTCAAATATGCGTCGCTAGGTGGAAAATGAGACATGGCTCGTCCATGAAAGCGACGGAAACTGATTTTAACATTTCACTTCACAATTTTATTATTTGTAGTGTTCTGTCTGATGACAGGTCCATACGAACAGGATCCTTCCATCCTTTTCTCTTCTCGGACTGGGACCTGTTCATATACGTTCTTGGCAGATGATCCAGAAGTGGTTTGCCATTGCCTTCTTCTGTGTGTGAATGGAGTAATTGTTGGGATGCCACGGAGGAAAACTCCGTGTTGCCTAGACCACGGCCTTGCCCAACACAAGTTATAAATTCTGGCACCGCCGGGAATCAAACCCGAGACCCCAGGATTACAAGGCCAGCGTTCTAACCGCTAGGATACTTAAGTCATATAGCACTCATGGGATAGATTACAAATTAAAACAAAGTTCTCGTAGCAAAACCTGAAAGAGGCCACCACTTACGAGACCTAGGCGTGCATTTGAGGGCAGTATCAGAATGGATCTTAAAGAAATATAACGACAGGACGGGGACTGCGTTTACATGGCTGAGGGCAGGGACAGTGATGAACAATTTGGCTCCATAAAAGGCGGTGTAGTTGGTGTGTTAGAAGACACTGTCCACGCGCGTAAGTTGCATCGCTCTGGCACTGAACCCTGCATCTATGCCACCCGTCGTGTGACATAGATGCCTTATGCATGCAGAGCAGACGAACTCCGCTGCATCCGAAGACATGATCATGCAACATGCAACCACGCCGCCCGGGTCGGACGTCATTAAGGTATATAAGAGATGAAGGTGAGGTCCTGAGGAACTCAGTAGCTTCGCCTTCTGAAGACAGCACTATGAGTCCTCTGGTAAGTACAGGAATCACATTAGTTAATCTCGCAAATGATAGTGTGTGTTGGGACGGGTTTTGATTTTAATGTTGTTAAACGTTCGGATTGTATTACCTGGGAGAGTTAATTAGCTGTGGATTATTTTAAATGTCGATCATTGAAATTTTCAGTATTGAATCTTTACTTTATAGTAGTTAAAAAATTAGCATTTATATCGTGTTCAGTAGAGGATTTTGGTAATGACGGTGTTGAAATTTTAGATTCTGTTAGCAGAAAATTAATTTGTTACACAGTTGTGGACTGTGTATAATACAGAGCTTTGGTATTTGTTTTGTTAAACCTTCGCTTTATAATGTAAGTGGTTGGCCAGTTATATAGTTACTCCGTTAGTTAATTAAATCTGAAAGGTGTCCAATGGCGAAATTTCATATCTGCACGTTATATATATATATATATATATATATATATATATATATATATATATATATATATATATATATATATATATATATATATATATATATATATATATATATATATATATATATATATATATATATATATATATATATATATAT